AGGTCATGTAGGTGGTATGGGGAGAGGCATGGAGGGCAACCGTGGATGCCAGGGACAATGTGGGAGGAGGATGGGTCATAGCAGAGGGTAGGGGATGGGGAATCAAGGATGGCAAAACAAAAAGCAAGGTATGCAGGACATAAGAATTGGGAAATTATTTGCTGAGAACATGTATGTTGATGTGCTTGACTGAGCCAATGCACAGTGTATTTTGGATAGAAAATTCATTTGTGTGTTGTGATGGGAAAACAAAGAAATTATAATAAAAAATAAATTATAATAAAAAAAACTCGTATGGAAAAAAAAGCAAATGTTTATTTCAATTTCTCCTATTATGTTAAATTGGTCTATGTGTCTACCACTTTTCGTTGCACTTTTTTTCATTTCCACCCTGTTTTAGTTATACATGTAGAGATTTCTTTTGGTACAGGATGTGTGCACTTACTGGAGAGGGAGAGAGAGACAAGAGAGACAGAAAGCAAGAAATCACTCTTCAGGAGGGATATCCACACTGGCATCTCTTCTCTCCCACTCTCCTCTCAGGATCTTTGGCACACATGTACATATGCCTGGCATGAGTTTGAAGCCACTGGTTCTGGGAATCAAACTGTGGTTGACTACATTGGAGTCCAGAAATATAACCTTACACCATCTGCTGATTCCTCCATCCTGTTTTTGTTACTATAATATTGTAGTATAATTAAAAGCCGGTAGTTTGATTCCTTCAACTGGTTCTTGTTTTTATGTGTTTGTGTATTTCTTTTTCAATTCCTTGAGACTTCCATGTCTTCTATGACTGTTTTCAAACTATAGAAATATTTTTTTCTTAGTACTATGAAGCCAGTAATAAAAATACAAGTATTGCACATGCTACTCATATATGGAAACTAAAAAGTATATCATAGAAATAGAGTGACAGCTGTTGGTTAGCAAAGAATGGAGTAATAGGATCGAGGTGAAAGCAGGGCAAGATTGGTTAAGGCTACAAAATTACAGCTAAATAGGAATAGTGTTCTAGCATATTGGGGTCAAAATAGTTAATAGTTTATTATATATCTCAAAAAAGTTAAAAGAGAAAATAGGTAATATTCTGAAATCAAGCAAGTGATAAATATTTAAGGTGGTAAATGGGACAGTTATACAAATTTGATCATTACATGTTATATTCTTTTATTGAAACATCACACTGAAACCCATAAATATGTACAATACTTATGTATAAAATATTTTAAAAAGGAATTTACTCTGGGAAGATTCTGGAAATCTCTTGCTGTGAGGCAGTGCTGATAACAAAAAAGCAGGGCAGCAGGCCCATTACAACTTTTTACCTATTATGTGGCAATTATTTTATTATTTATTTATGGATTTTTTAATGAGGAAAAAAGAGACACCCTCTCTAGAGTTATCTCACTAAAATTCTCCCTTTTCTCTATAGCCATTCAAGATTATGCATGCACCTATATGTTCAGGCATATCCTGGAAGCAAACCCACAACCCTCTCATATGGCTTCTAGAATTGTGCAGCAATTCCCATAGTACCTGTGCCATGGAGACTGTGTCAGGGGTCTAGTATTAATGAACCTTATGAATGCAAATGACCTTCACTTTTCTCATTTGTAGTTAGAAAATTCTATTGCCTTTAATCAGGGCTATTGCAGTTACAGAGGAAAGGTGAATTATGCAGATATACTGGTCAGGCAAAAAAAAAAAGCATCATATGTCTGCTACGTATTTTTACTTGAATAATAATTATTCATATTTTTATGGCTAAAAATACCTGAGACAACTTTGGAAACATAATATCAAAAATTTGGAATGCTGCAGAAACTGCTTAGAAAATATTTAACTTTTAATCTAGCTTCTTAAAAATGAGATGAAAGACATCAAATCCATACTACTTTTTGTTTTGTTTTGTTTCCATGAATGTTTTTATTTCAGTCTTAATTTCTTCAGTAGTTACATAGTCCATACTACTTTACACACTTGGAACTACAAAAACAAAAGTAAAGTAAATAAAAAGCCTGCAAGTATGAAGATAGTATGATTAGAATGGTTATAAAAAAGAATAAGAGATATTAAAAACATACAGACCACAATTGCTTCTTTCATGAGATCAACAAACTAACAAAGCTGAAGGCAGACTATCGTAGAAAATTAAGAGAAGATACAAATCAATACATTGATATGCAAGTGAAGACATTATTACTGACCATACAAAAATAAAAACAATACAGGAGAATTCAATGGATAATGAATAACTAATAATCTCTAGTAATTGCTCAGTATCCAAAAGGTCAGAAAAAGTCATTATTCTGAGATAGTACTGTTCTTTGCACTTTTGAATTTTTTTAATTTTATATACTCACTAAACATAACTTTGATTGTAAGTTGAATGCAATTTTAATAGCTAGCTAAGTTTAGCTTTACATAATGACAATTTCAAAATTAAAACAAAGACAAATTATTGTCATTTATTTTAAAAATTTTCTATAGGTTGTGTGTACTGCCTGGAGAGAAACAGAGAAAGAGGGAAAGTGAAGAAGTACTCCCTCAGGGGATGGCCACACTGCAATCCCTTCTCCATTCTCCTCATAGGATTTTGGGCAACTATGCACTTGGCATGTTTTTCAAACTGCCAGGTCTGGGACATGTGGATCCCCCCCCCCCAGCCACCATAACCACCACATCACCAACTGGTCCATGAATCATTTTCAATTAATTCAATAGAATTAAATTTAGGGTGCTTTTTTGACTCAAAACCCTAAAAATGTGATACAGACCTATCAGATAAAACCTTAGAATGCCTGTTTCCTCTGGAACCTTTTAAGTTTTTTAGATTTTCCAAGCAGTTCTTACCAGGTCTTAGCAAAATAATGCAACACTTGGGAACAAAGATGCAAACTAAGAGCCCCACACTGGAGGCCAACATGGAGAAGACCTCCACAGCCGCCATGAACTTGCCCTTGGTGCTGTGGTAGACAGGGAAGAATGTGATCCAGACACTGCAGAACACCAACATACTGAATGTGAGGAACTTGGCTTCATTGAATGTGTCAGGCAGGTTCCTGGCCAGGAAAGCCACGGTGAAAGTCCCCAGGGCCAAGAAGCCCAAGTATCCCAGGACACAGTAGAAGGCAATGATGGAGCCCTTGTTGCACATGATGATGATGTGTCTGGGCTCAGAGTGTGAGTCCATTTCAATGAAAGGGGGAGAGGTTCCCAGCCAGACTGCACAGATAATCACTTGGATAAGAAAGCAGATGGGAATGGCAGTATTAGAAGCTCCTGATAGCAGCAGGAACCTTGTTCTTCCAGGCTTCAGGGCTTTGAATGCAAGAATCACAGTAATCGTTTTGGCCAAAACAATGGAAACTGCCACAGTGAACACAGGCCCAAATGTGACTTGGAGTACACAGGTGGCTGTGTTAGGATGGCCGATGAAGAGCAAAGGGCAGAGGAAGCACAAGATGAGGGAGATGAGCAGGATAAAGCTGAGAACTTGGTTATTGGCCTTGACAATGGGAGTACATCGATGCTTCACAAAGACCACTAAAACCATAGCTGTGACCACAGAAAAACACAGAGTCATGCAGGCCATGGACAACCCCAAAGAATCTGTAAAAGCCAGAAAACTTTCAGACTTGGGGAGGCAGTGCGTTCTCTCACTGTTTGGATACTCCTGAATTGGACAATTGATACAGTGCTCTGCATCTGGTAGAAAAGCAAAACCCAGTATTTCAGTCTCAAAATTATTTTATCTCTCTCTGTGTTGTTGAAGTAAATAGTATTGTTTGTGTCATTTTTGCATACAGACAGCCCCCTATGTTATATTGACATACACCCAACTAAGAGTCTACATTGGTGTCAGTAGGTGGCATAGCAGTTACATTGTTGTACTCCCACATGACCAACCACAGTTCAAGTCTCAGACCTGGTGGCTTGAAAATCATGGTGGGCACATATGCTTGTGTGCCTAAGATCCCAGGAGGACATGGAGAAGGAATTACATAGTGGTCATCGCCCCTGGAGGATGATTTCTCACTATCCTGCTCACTGTTTCTATGGAGAGTACACACACCCTGAAGCAAAAACCTCTAAAATAAACAATCAAAAATAAAAACATTGGTGACTCTAAGTGGATTATTTTGTTGTTGTTTCTCCATCAAGTCTTTATTATTTAGAAATATTTTATGTAATTTGAACAATAAGCTATTAAGAAGTAATCTGGAATTTAACAGATGCACAACTTTGACTGGAAGTTTCACTTTCATTATGTGGGTATCATACCTTCAAAGCCTTCTCATCACAGATTTATCTATTTATTGCTTTTTGTATTCCTTTTTTGAAACATTTTTTAATTTTTCTTTTTAAAGTTTATTTTATTTTAATTCAGTTTCTTCTATGCATTCAATCACTGTATGTCACTTAACTTGTAAAGTGAATTTTCCCAACACAAACACTTCACACCAGTCCAGGTGAGGATACTATACACATTATTATCAATAGATAATAATCAATTTCTGTGTCCAATAAATGTCTTGCCACTCTTTTTTTCTCCTTAATGTCTTTTTTCACACTATCCTCCTCCCACCCTCTTCTCACATTTTATCCAGTATCCACACTAAGAGAATTCTTTTAGCTGCAGGTAACATTGAAACCATTTACAGTGGATCTCAGCCTTTGAGAACTTTTATTGGTCCATCTTGTAACTCAATGATGTTACCAAGAAGGTTAATTTATTCCAGATCTATTTTATTTTCTTTACTGAGTTTTTCTCATTATAAGCCTTTAATTCCCATGGGTTTTAATATTGCCTTAAAACAAGAGAAATTAATGGTTTTCTGGGCCAACAGGTGACTGGAATATTTAGACAGTTGGATCTCACATGACCAACTTTGTGATTCAAGTCCTGAACCCTTTGGCTTGAAAATTATGCTGGGAGCATGTGATAGCATGCCCAAAAGCCAGAAAAATGATTGGAGAAGAATAGTGGCATGGTCACCCCTTGAGAGGATGATTTCTCACTTCCTTTTTCTGCTTCTCTGTCTCTGTCTCTCTCTATGTCTCTGATGAGTGTAAATGACCTACAGCAAAAGAAAAATAAAAGAAAGGAATAAAGAATAAAAGAAAGAGAAAGGAAAGAATGAAAGAAAAAGAAAGAGAGAAAAAGGAAAGAAAAAGAAAGAAGAAAGAAAGAAAGAAAGAAAGAAAGAAAGAAAGAAAGAAAGAAAGAAAGAAAGAAAGAAAGAAAGAAAGAAAGAAGGAAGGAAGGAAGGAAGGAAGGAAGGAAGGAAGGAAGAAAGAAAGAAAGAAAGAAAGAAAGAAAGAAAGAAAGAAAGAAAGAAAGAGAAAGAGAGAGAGAAAGAGAGAGAGAAAGAGAGGGAAAGAAATTGGTTATTATCTATTGACAATAAGGTATATAGTATCCCCAACTAGACTGCTGTGAAGTATTTTCATGTTGGAAAATTCACTTTACAAGCTAAGGGATGTATAGTGATTAAATGTATAAAAGAAATTAAAATACAATAAAATATATTAAATATAAAAATTGAAATTAAAGATTTTCTTATTTTTATTCAGAAAAATTAAACTTACCTAATTCTGAATACTCTAACTTTTCTCACTACTATTAATGTCTTTTTTTGCATATAACATGCCACTTAGTAATATTTAAGACTTTTCTCTCTTAATTTTGTCATCCCAGTTCTCATGAACTCCTCCATGTAAAATTTGAAAACTTGGATTGAACTGAAAACATTTAGATTTTAGATTTTGAATGAAATTCTTTAGAACCTATATAATTAATTTCTATGAAATTATTTTTATATTATTGAAGTACGGAGTATATATTTTTTAAATTTCCATTTATTTTCACCTTCTACCATGGTTCATTAACCCTTTTTTTATGAGTGATAGGTGTATTTTCAGTCTTGCATATTGTAGAGTCTTTGTTGCAACTATTCTCTTCTCTTTTGATGCAGCATGAAAGCAGTCATAGAGCATCTGGGAATAATGTGCAGGTCTGTGTGTCAATTACATTTTATTAACAGAAATGATAGCAGCTTACCCACTTCTTTATTAAGGTTTTTTTTTAGGTAATATTGATGAAATATTATATACTCCAAATTTAAACAATGATCATCTATCACATTCCTTTTGAATTATTCTAATTCCTGCCTTCTGTCTCAGAGTCATGATTGGCACATATAAACAGGTGAATGTATTCTTCTGGGTCTCAAACCTTTTTATTTCTATGTTATGCACTTAACTGCTGCAAAGTCTTCAAAAGGAAAACAAATATTTTCTTAACTTATTCTTCCTGTGGCTTGAAAATTATGCTGGGTGCATGCGGTAGCATGCCCAAAAACCAGAAAAAAGATTGGAGAAGAATAGTGGCATGGTTACCCCTTGAGAGGGTGATTTCTCACTTTCTTTTTCTGCTTCTCTCCTACTCATATGATGACTAGATTGCGTTCTGTGAATTAATTCAATATATTATAATATTTACTCTTTAAGTATTAGAAAATAGAAGCATGGCTTAATGAAAATGTTCACATTTCATATCTGACAATACTAAATCTTAATATATGATTTTTGAATTTTATTCTCTATAACAGCTATTATTCAAGATTCTGGATTGTGGAATTTATTAGAATCTTGTGTGTTCAATTTTTTTTTTTTGGAGAGGTTTTTGCTATAGGGCGCGTGCGCTCGCCAGACAGACAGAGAGAGACAGAGAGACAGAAAGCGAGAAATCACCCCCCCCAGGGGGGATGGTCATGCCGCAATCCCTTCTCCTCCATTCTCCTCTTGAGATCTTGGGCATGCACACACACGCGCCCGGTGTGAGTTTTAAGCCACTGGGTCCGGGATGCAAACTGTGGTCGACTACGTGGGAGTCCAGCAACATAGTCATTATGCTAACTGCTGGTTCCCTTCAATTTTTTTAAAATTATGCATCATTTCCTTACTACAATAAAAAAAATTTGAATTGTAGGGTTCTTATATTAAGTAATTTTAACACATTGAACAAATTTTGAAGTATGGTCAAAAAAGTTATTAACTACCTTTAAAATAATGTATCCCTACTTGCTTCATGCTTCTCATCTAGAAATATACCTGTGTTATTTTTTAAGCTTTTTTGCATCAGAATTAACTCATACTTTTATTCCATTGTTCCATAAAATTTTCTCAGAAAAAATAAACTTACCTAATTCTGGATACTCTAACTCTTGTCACTACTATTAATTTCTTTTTTTGCATATAACATGCCACTTAGTAACACAAGACTTTTCTCTCTTAATTTTGTCATCACAGTTCTTATGAACGCCTCCATGTAAAATTTGAAAACTTGGATTGAAGCATCAGAATTAACTCATACTTTTATTCCATTGTTCCATAAAATTTTCTTGTATTTTCTTATTTTTGTAAACTTTCAATTGCTGTATATCTTTGCAGCATACAAAATGATTTTTTCCAACAAGAATACACTGTGTGTTAGTCCAATCAAAGATATTACCATACACACTATCTTCAACAGATAATTTTTCATTTTTGAATCAGTTAATTGTTTTGCTTTTTTTTATTCCATTGATTACTTCCTTCTCACTCCTTTTGTCACCCTCCTCCCACACTGTCTCTAGTATCCACAGTTGCTCTCCAGGCCTTTATACCTTTCAGTTTCTGCCATAGTGTGTAGACTTTGATATATATGAAGTGAGGACATACAATGCCTCTTTCATAGACTGCCTTGCTTCACTTAGCAGTAAATCTTCTATATTCATCGACTTTCTATCAAATTTCAGGGTCTCATGGAGGAGTCCAACCCAGCAGGGCCCCAGCATCTGTCTGAGCCCCCTCGCTTCCGGTCAGTTCAGTATGTTGGCAAGGATGCTACTGTGCGTCCCCCCAACCTAGGATTTTGCTCCAGAAACTGTGGCAGCCTTTCTGGGAAGCAAGAAAGTATCTATGGATTCTTACTAGTCATTAAAACCAAATGATTTCTACTCATATGATGACTAGATTGCATTCTGTGAATGAATTAAATATATTATAATATTTATTCTTTAAGTATTAGAAAATGGAAGCATGGTTTAATGAAAATGTTCACATTTCATATCTGACAATATTACATCTTGCTTTAATATATGATTTTTTAATTTTACTTTATACAACAGCTATTATTCAAGATTCTGGATTGTGGAATTTATTAGAATTTTGCGTGTTCAATTTTTTAAAAATTATGCATCATTTCTTTACTACAACAACAAAAGAATTGAATTGTAGCGTTCTTATATTAAGTAATTTTACCACACTGAACAAATTTTGAGCATGGCTGATAAGTTATTAACTATCTTTAAAATAATGTATCCCTACTTGCTTTGTGCTTCTCATCTAGAAATATACCTGTGTTATTTTTTAAGCTTTTTTTTTGCATCAGAATAAACTCATACTTTTATTTCATTGTTCCATAAAATTTGTTCAGATTTTCTTATTTTTTTACACTTTCAGGCATCAGCTGATAATAATCTCTGCTTGATGGAGTCACTTTCTGGAAACTGCATTCCACGGAGACCCACCTACATCAAAGGAACAATTGTGGAACTACACTAGACCCACCTTTAATATTCCATTGATTACTTCCTTCTCACTCCTTTTGTCACCCTCCTCCCACACTGTCTCTAGTATCCACAGTTGTGCTCTCCAGGCTT